ATCGTCAATGTATTCAAAGTCAATTAAATACGCATTATTAAGGATAACTCAAAGACTATAGGTCAGATCTTGATCAAATTTATATGGGACCACACGAGAAGAAGTAAATATAAATAAAAAAAGAATCATCAAAATCGGTTCACTCAGAAAAAGTTTTGAGGTGACACACATCAAATAAATATACAGTCGAATCGAGTACCTTTTTGAATTCGGTTAAAAACTGAGTGACGTAGTTTTCAACATATTATTGAGCTCTTAAAGCATTGGGTAGAGTATTTGACGACCCACCCGATAAGCCTAATTATAGTAAGTGGGGCTTGCTTGCTGAATATGCATACAATGCCTATTATTTATATAAGTTTCTTTGTCGAATTTCGGGTTACGGTTGAAAGCACAATTTAATTTCCACTTCGTCACGCATTTGTGACATTTGTAATGTAAACAAATGGTTTTCCAGCACTTTGTATATAAATTGTTATAATGTAGGTGATAAATTTTCCAAGGACAGGTACTCAATATTTTATTAAGTAGTGTGATATAGACGATACATTGATTGCTATTATACCTTTTTGAAATTTATTGTTGTACTTTGTACATATTATACATATATATCCTGTATATTAATAATTTTATCATCGTATCTTATTTTGTTTGAACTTTTGTGAACACATATTTACATTGGTAATTATGACCAGGACATATAGTTTTATAAAAAAATCTAACACGATATTGTAAATCTACTGAGCTCGGTAACGAGTGGAATTTTGTAACTGTGCGAAGTAACGATACTATCAAGGAAATAAGTTCAACATGCACATAATATTAATAACACTGTACTTATATTAAAAATCAATCGAGAGACGTTGAATAACACGGAAAACCCAGAAAATTATGCATCGCATACGCGTGTAGATAAGGTGGTGTTTACTTCTGAATACAAATCAGTATTTATAACCCACAGCGAAGAAAATCCGTGAGATGAAAATATAAATTAACAACAAAGCAAATGCCTTAATGTCAACAACTTCGAATGAATTAGGTAGGTAATCATTCACTATAAGATGCATTTGTTCTAAACTTTTTGTAAGATCAATTGCAGTACCTATGAAGAAAATGTGCTTCTTATTTCTAAACATTTACGCTACGTAGGTACCTACAGCCTAGGTATGATTAAGAATAATATTCTCAATTAAATTATTATATTAATTGTATTGTGGTAATTATAAAAAGATGTACAATTTATGATATATTAATTCGTAATACATTGTAAAGCAAAGTAGAATAGATTGTTAGAAAGATTAGTATTAAAAGCAGGGGTAGGCTCAGTTGGTCCTCTTGAATGGCCTTGGTCATCTCATTCCGAGTATGTGGAGGAGGTAGTAAGAAGAAGGAGCACCATGGGGTTTAAGTCAGTGCAATTTTGATTTAAACTACCCTTTTAAAATGAAGGTTATAAACGATTTTCAGCTTACAACGAGTGGTACTAAGAAAATTAATCAATTACACCGTTTTTTGTCGTTTGTCTCATAAAAGCCAACAAGGGGAAATAATAGGGGAAATATTGTGTGTTGAAACAATTATGACTAGAATTTCCAGCGTCGATTAATTCAAATATATAGTTGTGAGTGTTTGGAGTGTAGAGAACCTATGATAATGAGTTATTTGGTTTTACAAGGGGAAATAATAGGGGAAATATTGTGTGTTGAAACAATTATGACTAGAATTTCCAGCGTCGATTAATTCAAATACTATAGCTTAATGCTGATGTGTTTCGTATAGTGAGTGTAGAGAACCTATCCACAATTAAGAATAACAATGCATCTGCATTGTTATTCTTAAATGAGGATAGATGTAGATGTCTATGGGCCACAACATCCACTTACCATCAGGTGGGTTGTGTTCGTTTGGTTATCCTTATTCTATAAAAAGTCTTCCCTTGTTAAGTGTGTCCATCACGGATAACCACCACAGGCTACTGCAGCAGTGGAAGTTTTTTATTATGTGTGCGTTGTGATGAATTCCAACATAATACGTAGAACGGAAGTAAAAAAACAAAGAAGTACCGTACTATTACTTTGTTACACACAAGCAAGGTTTTGGAATTTACTTGTAGGTATTACTAATCAACGAATAATGACGAAAGAGAGCGTCTTTGAGAGCGTAGTCCTTCCCCGAATTTGAATAAATCGACGCTGGAAATTCTAGTCATGGTTATTTCAACATACAATATTTCACTATTACCTGTCCTTGTTGACTTTTGTGACACCAGCGAGACAAAACGGTGTAATTGATTAATAATGATTAGATATGTTTTCAATATGCCGCGGGTTTTTCCTTATTCTATATTGACTAATCTTAATTATTGTAAAATTGAGAATAAATTAACGGTAATAAGCGTTAAATATTGTTTTTAAATAAAACTAAATCGTCAAATTTACAGCCCACTTGATACACGTAAACTTCTAACGGCTACTGAGGCATTGTCACCTCCAAGAACTAAGGTGGAATATCTCACAGCTTCTAATTATACTGACTCTGTATTCCCTTGAGGCCGAAAACAGCAGTGCGGACTCTGAGCTGCTTGGCGGTTAATATAGTTAAGACGGACCCTGCCCAGTCGGACTCTTAGATCTCTGTTTTAAATTTTAATATTTATGAGTAATAGATATTTAGGTAGCTGAGTGTGGTAAGAGTAGATACCTGTTAAGAGATGCAGGAGGTCAATGGATGCAGGTGATTCTTTACCGTGCTTTGTGACATTTTTTGGGGGAGGCCTATGTTCAGCATTGGACTTAATTTGGACAAAAGCTGTAATGATGATGATCATGAGGTGGCTTAAAATACTCACAACTCCTCAACTATCGTAAGATGCGATCACGGGTACGCAATAAAAATCGTATGGCTTTCGACAGATGGCAGACATAACTATATTTACGTCAGACGTAAATCGAGACCGGCGACGGGGAACAACGATAAAGGTGCGACGCGATATGTCTGATAACACAGATGATGACTGTCTGATATCTCAGGTGATGGACTGTAATGATGATTATTAGTACCGATAGAACAAATGCGACAGAAACGGCGTATAACATCATTGTTGCGTTTGAAAATTTGGCGAGTACGAAATACATTGTTTGGTTTTGATTAATTTGATAATAGTGATAGTGGAAATTTCGAACTGCGAAATCAGCTACACAGGGAGCTACAGGATGTAAATACCAGTAAAGTTAAAGTAAAGTAAAGTTACAGCCTATATACGTCCCACTGCTGAGCACAGGCCTCCCCACATTTATGAGAGGGTTTTAGGGCGGAGAAGTGTCCGCCGCACTGCCCCAATGCGTGTTGGCGAACTTCACATGTCTTAGAAATATTTTTTTTTTTTGTCAATCGGTACTAATAATCATCGACGTCCATCACCTGAGATATCAGCAGTCATCATCTGTAATCAGACATATCGCATCTACTTGAAATAAATACAGCCTATATACGTCCCACTACTGAGCACAGGCCTCCCAAAGAGGGCGGAAATGTCCCCCCTCCCACTTATTCCTCAGACATGCAGGTTTCCTTCACGATGTTTTCCTTCACCGCCGAGCACGTGGTAAATCAGCACTTAAAATTGCAATTAACAATTTCATTGGTGCCGGCGGGGATCGTACCCGGGTTACTCGCGTTCTGTTATATTACAGCGAGCGTTAACCATCTGAGCTACCACGGCTCTATACCAGCAAATACCAGTAAATACCAGCTCAGGTTGAAAATGAGGAAATGCGGTGAAATTGGCAGCCGATCAATCAAACAAGTAGGACGTGTATATGTTGTTTTTTGATATTTTTATAACTACAATGAAGTCTTAGTTGCGCCAAATTGGCAAATAAAACTAGGAACACCACGAATTAACTCATCAAAGCAGTAACTGTGTAGGCTAAGCGGTCCTGTAAGTATAAACATTTCTTGGGGAGCCCTCTTTTTCTTTCTCTCTTTTTGTTGGAGCTCCAGAAGCTCAGCAGCTCTGACACTAAAGATACAGCGTAGCTATGAAGCTGGGTCATAGCTGAAAAGAGAGGACATATCTTCATACAAGTCGGCAGAAATACGGGGACCTACGCGCTGCTGAGCGGACGGTAATATGGCGCACAACATTACGCATGCACATTTGGGTCATCGACACAGCTTTACTGCGTATATACTTATATTCATTAAAACTGCTTTTACGGATTTTATTTTATTTCGGGTGCTTTCCAGCATCCATGGTCACGGGGGACTGAGGTGACTGTCGTCCCGATGTCAATGTTAACCCGGAGTACCTTCAGCTTTTTAATTAAGCACCTCAGTCACCTTTAACAATAATTAATACTGCTGTGTTTCGTATGGAGTGTAGAGAACCGGATACCATTTTAATTGGAAACGGGGCATTCCATCTTAGTGCTCAGGGGTGACGACACGCCTGCATGCTCCGATGCAATCTTTACCGAGGATAAACGTAAATGTCTATGAGCCATAGCATCCACTTACCATCAGGTGGACTGAGTGCTCGTTTGTCACCCTTATAAAAAGGTTACACCACATACATCACATCCCTCGCTTAGTAAATAGAAATTAAAAAGTCTAACGGTACGGTTTACTGTTCATCATGCGTTACCTACGCAACACTACTATCTACACTACATCAAAGAGTGGAATAATTTACCAGCATCTGTCTTGAGGGTTTCTTCAAAACAATAGTAAATAGGCATTCGTTAATGTCCTGTTTTAACATCTTCGACAGTAGCAAGCACTCCGGTAATAGTTTAAAAAAAATTAAGATTTTATTCCACCAGGTAAAACTAAATATTTTATATAAAAAATATTGGTCACTAAATCTACTTCATTTTTAAATTATAAAAATACTTCATTATAAACATTAAATTACATAATATCTAAAAATATTGTCTAAATTTCACGAAATAGATGAAAATAAGTGTAAACAATTATGAATATATTTTCAGGTACATTACCAGTGCGCAGCAGTGAGTATCCAGGTGGGGCTGATGATTGTACCACCGCAGGTACCACCAAAGAGTACCGCGTGTGGGTACCTCTCATTGACAGGTTTCGTTTCTTCCTCGGCTTTTGTAGCTACAGGATCGCTGGGTTTCTCGTACACCTCATTGTCGTGACGGCCAGAGAACTTTATCGGCTTGTCTGGTGTACAGAGGAATCCCAAGTAAGTAAATGTCTTTGATTTCAACTGAAAAAAATACTATAATACTTTTCCCTTCTTAAATTTTCAATTATTGCTACTCATCTTATTTCCACAGTTTTTGTTGAACAAAGGTTTTCTACGAATGCGCTAGCTGGCAAACTCAGGGTGATGACTGGTGATCGCAGAGCCGATATACATACTGGTAAACTACTTAATGATGTTTCTTTCTACCCAATGTTAGCTGACATTAACAGTTATTGTTATTTGTTAAGATTCATGTTTTCTGTTGATAATCTATATATAGTAATGTCTGCTCTTGCCTTCCATTATTTATTACAGGTTTGTTATTTATTAGTGATGTGGTTATTAACATGAATCTCAATACTAGGGGGTATAACACTATTTACTAAGTTTATAATACACACTTACAATGTGATTTACTATTGATGCAACTAAAAGCTACATATTATATACAATTAAATAATTGTAGCTAATTGAGTTGGAAAGAAAACTACAACTCATTCTTTGTCATGCATATACATATACGTCTATATACAGGAAGTATGTTATACTGAATGTCATCAATTTCTCCTCATTGTCGCAGACTTGCAGTAAACAAACCCGGCAGGTAATTAGACACTAACCCACAAATGACACATCAATGACACAGAAATAATGGTTGCTTATCTCGTTTTAAAAATAGGTAGGTACTTAGTCTTCCCTATCATTATAAAAAGTTCCACGCTTTCGAGTAGGTGATTTAGTGCGTCTAGTAATTTTGTAGGTAGTTATTAAACGGATGTTCTAGGTAGTCTAGTACATAAAAGGTCTGTAGTGATAGGAATTAAATTGTGTAGTTTTTTCTTATTCTCTGTTTTTTTCGCTTGCTATCTGATTTTTTTACTAATTTGACAATAATTTCTTATTATCGTCTAAAAATAAGTAGGTATTTTGCAGCTCCAATGGCAAAAGTATTTTGTAATGTGTAATATTAAAGATTAGCTCGATAATGATATCCGTAATTAGAGGTCGTTTTGATAAAAGGTCGTGGTCGACTCTATTTCTTGCTGATAAAACCGTTCTTTAAAGATAATACTCACGTTTAAGGTCTTTATATAAATTAAAATATAATGCATATAATACGTTGTCATCTTGTTATACTAATACATAATAAAAGATAGATGTGGCGCCATTATTTTTTTCTGGTAGGTAGCGTCCACATTGAACTTCCAATGCCGTGTTACGTGAGTAATCTTCGAAAACAAGTTTGGTCACAATTTACATTTTAAGATTTAAATGTCAAATTGCCAGTGTCTACGTACGCCTGTGCTTACGCTGTATGATTTTTATTTATATATTTATTGGCTTTTTAAGTTGTAAAGTAAATAAGTGAATTTAAATATTAATTGTATTATTTCTATTAAGTATAATAATTTTTTTTCACAACTAGGTCAAACTTTTCGAAATGATAAAACAACTTCGACACTTCAATGTTAAAATCTTAAACAAAGGGACTTATGTTAACAGCTTACTTACGTACATAAATACCTACTACCTACGTACTGGGCGCTTATACCACAGAATAAATATTAGCTTATACTAGTAATTAATACCTAACGGAATTAATTACACTCGTTAGTGCTTACCTCCACGGCAATAAAATTTTATTTTTATTAAATTTTTAATTTTTTTTTAATTAAATTTTATTTTAATCGCTGGCGCGATAATTTTTTTTTAGTAAATTTATTCTTTTCCATCATTGACGTACAATATCAGCGAATGTTAGATACTGATTAACACTTCTAAAAACTTTACTACGATCCATATACATTACACAAAGACACAAATTTACAAAAAGTTCTTTTAAGTAAACGGAAACGCACGTATCGATAAACATTGAAGTTTTCTTATTACACTTGTATACACGAAATGCCAAAATATATTTTTTAATTGACACACTACTTTGTTTTATATGATTTTTACTCACTTAGTTCAAGTTTTCCGACTGGATTAACTTTATTGTCTTCGGGTCGGGCGAGGGCGCAAACGCACAGCGCAGCTAAACACACAAACAACCTCACTTGGCGGTTCATCGTGGCAATGATTTCTGCGCTTGCGACGATCGCCGCTTATATTTATCAGCGTCTACAAGGAAAAACCGCGGGTTAACCGATTACGCTGACTTATATCCGTAATTTTAATTGCTGAAATGCCCCTATGTGTATTAATTGTTAAAAAAATATATGTGAATATACATTGCCGCATCACCAAAAAAAATATGTCGATACTAAGATGTTGCCTTTTATAACTGTTTATAACTATATTTAATAAAAATATAGTTTCCTGGAAACTGCCCTCCCTGTTATTACATCAGATTTGATATACTACGAATCTTCAGAAAAGAGTATCAATTGCTTCCAAGAATAATTCGTGAGATTATTTAAATAAAAAACATCCTGCTTTCAATAGAGAATATGTCTGGTTGCTACCATCTTGGGATTTAATAAAGTTATATTCGAACATCAAGATAAACGTTTACACGTGGCAGAGCCACGCTGCAGCTATATTATGGTTGTAGCATGAATGGGTCGACTTGACCGGGGAAGGACTGCGCTATCACAGAATACCATCGTAAAATAGCAGCTTAATGTTGCTGTGTTTCGTATCGTATTTCGTATTCGTGAGTGTAGAGAACCGGAGACCCGTTTTACTGGAAACGAGGCATTCCATCTTAGTCCTCAAGGGTGACAACGCATCTGCATTTTGATTCTTAATCAAGGTTAAATGTCGATGTCTATGGGCCACAGCATCCACTTACCAACAGGTGGACTGTGTGCTCGTTTGTCACCCTAATCTTATAAAAAAAAAATATTAAAAAGCTGAAGCTTATTAAGAGGATATAGTAAGTCAGCTCAAATTCTAATTTCACCCCCACTTCCCCGCGCGTCGTATGCTATGTACCGACATGTTTGTAATCACTAATACTGTAAGTAGATAGGTCGTTAGATACTTATTTTATTAGGTTTATCATATTTATGCCTGTTTCTTAACGCCAACCCAGTAGCTTCTAATTTTTATAACGTTTATTTCCTATTTTCATTTTACGTCGCCCTGTTGCGTAATGTGTATTCTGATCGTAAGCGACACAATTTCTCCCTTCAAAAGCCTAAGCGATACTAACGAGGCGACAGGAATCAAGCTTCAAGACGCCGAAAGTTTAGGTAATTTCTTTTTACAGTGAAAATAATGATATTTAAAAAAAGTAAAGCACTGCTTTATAGTTAGTTAGCTTAGTAGCAGTTAGTATGCAAAGTTTCATGATCTTTTTTAAAGTATTTTATGAATAACAGCGGTTTATTGTTCAGTTTGGAGGTAACTTTGGATTTTTTTCTATCGATAAAATTTTACGGAATCCTGTTTTCGTCTAACATAGTCCTTAACATTAATCCACAACTTTACCAAATATTTATTTCAAAATTAATGCTGCAATACTTTCGGCATAACGGAGGATCTTGCTAAGCCATTTGAGGTTATATTTCCCCTTAAGTGTGCATTAAACATGACATCAGGACGCTGAACCTCTTAATGATCACGGGGAGGCCATGGGTAAGGGAGGGAAATAAAAATAAGTTAAAATTGATAGGGATAACATATGTAAAATTAGTTTTATTTAATACGCTAGTTCTCTTACTGTGTTCGGGTCCGGACACAGTTGTGAGTGCATTGCTGTGTGGTGGCAGAAACAGCTCAGAGGATGGTACAGACTCAAACGGAGTTCTAGGTGAACACAACTAGAGTTGATTAGCTTAAAATTGTCTTTCGAATAATTATTAACAAAAAAGAAACGATATCATAATCCATCGTATCATATCAATTTCTTTTTAATTTTTAAAAGCTTTTGTTAATTTTTATTACAAGCTTTTATTTATCTTGCAATGTTTGTTCGGATGGAATCTTGCAACTCAATTTTGAAGCAGATATCTTCAACCGATTGAGCTGAAATTTTGTATACACCTTTAGGATGACAATGCATGGTTAGCTGTCATTATTGCTGTAACGTCACTCTGAATCCAACATGGCGGGACACCCAAGATGTCGGACTAGTTATTTTTAATGCACTTCAAAAGGGCTTGCTGAGAATAACTCGAAAAATAAAGTGACGTCACTTTCAATCCAATATGGTGGACTTCTAAGATGGCTGACTAAGTTTTTTATGCTTTCCTACAGTACGGGTACCAAATGAAAGGACTCGCTTATGATACTGAGATCGAATTGTTCGAGTCTGTACTATCGGTTGGTTAACTTTGACTTGTGTAATTTGGCGAGATAGGCGTCAACAGCAATGGTTTGCAACCTGACTAGGAGAAGGATAACTCCAAAATCAAACCCAGAACTGTTTCGTAAGGCACAAGTAAGCTTCAAGCTGAAATAAGTGGCGCATTCCTCCAAACACCCAAGTCAAGGTGAGGCTGTGACGAGTACTGAGTGGCATCAGAGTGTAACATGATGTCGTGAACGTGCCGCCTTAGGGCATCGGGGCGAACCCTGTTGTATATTAGCTCTTATCCTTCTAAACGAAGCTCTGGGAGGGTCGACGAATATTTCTTCGGTACTCGTGGGAACAACATGGGAAAAACTGAAACATCTACACAAAGGAAGAGAAGGCTAGAGAAAAAGAAGTTAAAACGGCAAGAAAAACCTGCTACCGAAAGCGAGAATGCGAAACGCCAACGACTCAGCAAAAGGTGTGATCAGGATAATAGCGAAACACTCGACGACAGTTGAAACTTGATAAGGCTAAGCAACGGTTACGAACAGCGGAATCACAGGAAGAACACGACGCACGAATTAAAAAATTCGTCAACACGTATCTGAAGTATGAGAAGCTGAATCAGTTGAATAACGAGAGGTTCGTTTGAGCGCTTTACTAGTCAAGTTAGAGCAGGCGAAACTCATGAACAGCGAGAGTTTCGTTTGAGCAATTTACGAATGCATAACTGTTAAGTACGAATAGCAGAAAAGTCGCAAACAGAAAATTTTAACAAAACCATAAATATATTCTGTCGCATGGTGTGCGAGATTTGAACTTAAAGGTGTTATCCAAATCAAGTCACAAATCACAAAATAAATTTTAGTACTGCTTCGTACCTACCTGCAGAATTAACAAGTAGAGGAACCATATTGCTGTGTCATAGTTGCAAGAAACACCTTACAAGCAAAACAAAACTTCAGGCTTAGCCAAAGCTTACTGGAATAATTTAGATCCTGGTGAAGTGCCCGATGTAATAAAGCAATTGACACAACCCGAACAACGCTTATTATCAAGAATTATACCACATGTAAAAATGATTAAATATGATGGTATATTTGGACCGTATAGGTTTAGAGGGCACCCTTCAGTTTTTACACAACACATATTTAAATTTACTGAAAATCTGCCTAACATTTTACCTAGATTTACCGACAGTACAGCTGTCATTACAGAACATGTATAAAATGTTCTATTTTGGATTCCCGACTTAAACAACTCAAAAACATTGAATTACTCTTTGGTGGTATAAGTATTTGTGTATTTGATGACTTAATGCAGTTAGTTAGTTAAATCAAGTGTTTGATCAACCCTCTAGATTTTTCCAAGCAAAAGCTACCTATGGCGTTCTTTCTCGTCAATTGAATTGACCGAAAATATGAGACAACAAGATAGCATAGCTTTTAAAGACCTCCTGAATGTATTACGAATTGGTGAATTTCAATCAGAATATTTTGTTATTTTAATGAATCGGATAAACAAAGAACCAACTGGCGAATTCCCGATTGAAAAGGCCGTGCGAATTTATCCCACCAACCAACTAGTATACAATCACAAAAAAAAAAACTGTTCTCGAACATTTCAGAGCTCGTGGTCGTGGTCGAAAATAATAGCACAGGATAGTCTATTTGATTGTACTCGAAAAAATTACAACATACGTACATACATAGATTTAAATAACACTAGCTTGCAAGGCAGACGTTGTTCTGCCCTTTTCGACAACCCTTTGTCATGTCCTATTAAAAATCCTTAAATTCGCAAAAAAAATTGTGGGTCACTCATGCCCAAAAAAAGTATCCTATCTCAACACAAGACAAACAACGTGACAGGTAATTTATATATATAAAGATTATACCATCCGATATAAACAAGACAGTAGGGTTAGTTAAGGAGTTAGAGATATTTGTTGGGGCAGGGGTAATGTTGCGTTACAATGTAGATGTGTCCAAAGGTCTGGTGAATGATGCCATTGGCCCTGCTTCCGGAGAGCTCAAATGTACGATACTGACTTACCGTAGAGACTTCGGTAAAGACGGTGTTCATCTCACTCAACCTAAGACTGCAATTTCCAGCAAGATATAGTCACGGCATTGCATAACGAAGAATACTGCCAATTATATTATGTTGAACTTGCACAGTACACAAAATGCAGGTTAGTACTGTTGACCTTGCCTTTTTGCTGCTGGTCAAGCATACGTGGCCTTAAGTAGGGTAAAATCATTATAAGTTCGTCTTATTGTTCGAAATGAACCGGCAAACGACCTTGCAACAACGATGCGTTGAATGAGATGAACAGACTGAGAAATTTGTCCCGCAAGACTAAAAAGTAAAAAATAAATTAAAAGTACAAAACTTTTTTAAAATCAACTTTTAATTAAATGCGATAAATTAAACATTTTCCTTAAAACTTTTACTATCTTAAGTATATTATAATTTTTCGTAGTAGGAAAACTCGTAGAGATATTGTCTAAATATAAAATTTTATCCCAATTGTTAACAGCAGTTTCCTAGAAACATACAAGATTACTCGCATAAAGTATAGAAATATACATAATGCCTATGTGTGCGTTAGTGAGTTTTTTTATAAAACTGAAATGACAAAGGAACTTATAGTCTACCTGATGGCGACTGCAGTTCATGAACACCTGCAACCAACTTTAAATAAAGAAAGGAAAATAAAAAAATTAAGCGACAGTAGCCTAATGGCAGGGCGCGGACCGCGAACTCAAAAAGTTCGTGGGTTCGAATCCGCCATTCGACTACTGGCGTGAACCACTCGTAACA